ACCCCGACTCCGTCCGGGTTCTCTCTGACCCCGCCCTGTCCACGTCTCCCCAGCCCCGCCACGTCCTGTCCGAGACTCGAGACAGGCCCAGCCCCATCTCTCCAGCCTGTCCCCCGTCCCTCTCCGTCCCCTGGACCCGCTCCAGTGTCTGGCCCTGGCCTGGTCCCTCAAGCTCCCGTCCCGGTTCCAGCCCTGCTCCAGGCCCCCGACCCGTGCCCGCCCTGTCCACTCCGCGCCCCGCCGCGAGGGATCCCAGGACCCTCTGGGTCGCGCCCTCTGGCGTGGGTGGAGAAACGGACCATTGAGCTAAGGGAGGAAGAGGCCCCGGGGACGCCCCGCAGGGGAAAACTAGGTTCTGTCCCAGCACGGGCTTTAAAAAGAGTGGCATGGCCAGCTTTTCGCTAATCAAGTCTCGGACGGAAACCTCCTGGTGCAGAGACAACCGGCCAGGGTGCATTGAAGAGGCCTGGGCTACGGCTGAGCTGTTGGGAGGATGGAGCCAGACCGTGTGCCGGGATGCCAGCACAGCGTCCGCAGGAAGCCACCCTGTGACTTGGGGCTCCCTGCCGCACACCCCTCCACCTTCCCATTGCCCGGTGACCAGAGCACTCTCAGCCCCTCGCCTACATTGTTATTTTACTATCAGGTTTTAAAATACCTTGTTTGTGGTCGGCGCGGTGGCTCACGCCTGTAATCCCAGCACTTTGAGAGGCCGAAGTTGGGGGATCACCTGAGATCAGGAGTTCGAGACCAACCTGGCCAACATGGTGAAACCCCATCTCTACTAAAAATACAGAAATTAGCCAGGTGTGGTGGCGTGTGCCTGTAGTCCCAGCTACTCGGGAGGCTGAGGCAGGAGAATCCCTTGAACTCAGGAGGCGGAGGTTCGAGTGAGCTGAGATCTCTCCGCTTCACTCCAGCCTGGGAGACAGAGTGAGACTTCATCTCAATAAAATTAAAAATAAAATCGTTTGCTTGTGAAAAATATGAAAGGGTAGATTCTGCCAGTTGGGCACAAAACTTTCTCCTAGAAACTATAATAAGCCTAAAAGTAATACACATGACTGCTTAAAAGAATTCAAATGGGCCGGGCGCGGTGGCTCAAGCCTGTAATCCCAGCACTTTGGGAGGCCGAGGTGGGAGGATCACGAGGCCAGGAGATCGAGACCATTCTGGCTAACGCAGTGAAACCCTATCTCTACTAAAAATACAAAAAACTAGCCGGGCGAGGTGGCCGCGCCTGTAGTCCCAGCTACTCGGGAGGCTGAGGCAGGAGAATGGTGGGAACCCGGGAGGCGGAGCTTGCAGTGAGCTAAGATCCAGCCACTGCACTCCAGCCTGGGTGACAGAGGGAGACTCCATCTCAAAAAAAAAAAAAAAAAAGAATTCAAATGGTGGCCAGGTGCGGTGGCTCACGCCTGTAATCCTAACACCTTGGGAGACCGAGGCAGGATGATCGCTTGAGCCCAGGAGTTCGAGACCAGCTTCGGCAACATGGTGAAACCCCGTCTCCACTAAAAATACAAAAATTAGCCAGGTGTGGTGGCATGTACCTGTATAGTCCCAGCTACTCGGGAGGATGAGGCACGGGAATCACTTGAACCCGGGAGGCGGAGGTTGCAGTGAGCTGAGATTGCACCACTGCACTCCAGACTGGGTGACAAAGCGAAACTCTGTCTCAAAAAAAAAAAAAAAAAAGAAGCCAGGAGTGGTGGCTCACTTCTGTAATCCTAGCACTTTGGAAGGCCAAGGCAGGTGGATCACCTGAGGTCGGGAGTTTCAGAGACCAGCCTGACCAATGTGGAGAAACCTTGTCTCTACTAAAAATACAAAATTAGCCAGGCGTGGTGTTGCCTACTTATAATCCCAGCTACTCCAGGGGCTGAGGCAGGAGAATCCCTTGAACCTGGGAGGGGGAGGTTGCCATGAGCCAAGGTCACACCATTGTACTCCAGCCTGGGCAACAAGAGCAAAACTCCGTCTCAAAACAAAAAACAAAAACAAATCAAAACAAACAAAAAAAAATTGTGCTGTTACAGGAAAGAGGTTCCGATCCAGACTCCAAGAGAGGGTTCTTGGATCTTGCGCAAGAAAGAATTCAGGGCAAGCCCGTACAGTAAAGCGAAAGCAAGTTATTAGGAAAGTAAAGGAATAAAGAATGGCTACTCTACAGACAGAGCAGCCCTGAGGGCTGCTGGTTGCCCGTTTTTATGTTTTTTTGGACGATATACTAAACAAGGAGTGGATAATTCATGCTTCCCCTTTGTAGACCATATAGGGTAACTTCCTGACATTGCCACTGCATCTGTAAACTGTCATGGCGCTGGTGGGAGTGTAGCAGTGAGGACAACCAGAGGTCACTGTCATTGACATCTTGGTTTTGGTGGGTTTTGGCTGGCTTCTTTATCGCAATGTGTTTTATCAGCAAGGTCTTTATGACCTGTGTCTTGTGCCGACCTCCTATGTCATCCTGACTTAGAATCCCTTGACCATCCAGAAACGCAGCTCAGTAGGTCTCAGTCTTATTTTACCCAGCTCCCATTCAAGATGGAGTTGCTCTGGTTCACACGCCTCTGACGGTGATCTAGGACCCAAAATGAAAAGTAACATCTCCCTCATGCCGCCCCGTGGACCCCTCAGGCAGTTGTGTCTCCTTGCAGTGGGGTTCTGCCCCCACCTCCACACACATGCCCTCACTGAGTTCGGAAGGGGGCTTTACCGCCGGGGCAAGGCCCAGATGCATTCTCCTGGACCTGCATGGAGTTGCTTTTTGGGCCTGCCTCAGGGTCTCTGCACTTCCTGTTCCTCCCTCCTGGACCGCTTGTCCCCAGAGAAACGTGTGGCTGGGGATGTTTGATCAGGCCTCAGCTCCCCAGGCCGCACCCACTCGGCGAGCACCTTCCCATTCTCCGTGCCAGGCTGCCTTTCTGCATTCTCGGCTGCCTGACTCCCCTGTGAGACGTGAACCCCACAAAGGTGGGGAGTTGCTGTTTTTGTTTTGTTTTTTGTTTTGAGACAACGTCTCATTCTGTCGCTCAGGCTGGAGTGCAGTGGTGCAATCTCGGCTCACTGCAACCTCTGCCTCCTGGGTTCAAGTGATTCTTCTGCCTCAACCTCCCGAGTAGCTGGGGTTACAGGCGCCCGCCATCACACACAGCTAATTTTTTGTATTTTTAGTAGAGATGGTTGGCCAGGCTGGTCTCGAACTCCTGACCCCGTGATTCGCCCGCCTCGGCCTCCCACAGTGTTGGGATTATAGGTGTAAGCCACCGTGTCCAGCCCAGGCAGGGCATTGTTTAGGCCACTGCTCAACCCCCATCACCTCAGATAAATGCAGCACACAGTAGGCACTCAATCAATGTTTGTTGACTGAACAAGCGAGTGTTGAACCCAAGCCTGCACCGTGACTGGGCAACAGCAAATGTTCAGGGAGTACTTGCTGAATGAATGAATTAATGAATGGCCTGTTCTACTCTAGTAGTTTGTGGTGGTTGAACACCAGTTCAGATGAACATTGGAGTTGGAGGGTGGGCACACACGGAATCAGGTGAGCAGAGCAGGCTCCACGCCCCAGGTCAGAGTCCATGGGAACCCTTATCACCCCTGCAGGGCTGGGCAGCAGAGGAGGCACATGTCTCTTGGAGGCAGGTGTCAGGACACGAACTCTTGGCCCTCTAGGTCAGGGTGATTCCAAATTTCACCTCAAGGTGTGGGTTGGGCTGTAATAGAGGATTTAGAAAATCAGGGTTTGTACAGCCAGAGGCACTTGCGGCACCAGAAGGGGAGGAGCGACCCTACCCAGGCCGACAGAGCCTGCAGACAGGTAGGAGTGCTGGCAAGGCTGAGGTGGGCAGCAACCTCCTGGACCACCTTGTGGCCAGATAACTGTCTTCACAAACGACTCAGGGGAGCAGGGCCCTAAGGCTCAGAGGCCAAGAGTGCAGACGGGTGCCCTGGGAGGCTCAGGGGCTGTTGTCAGTTCTTCCCTTGGTACCCACTGCTGGGGATACATCAGGGGACAGAGGGGCCAGTCTTCCTGCCACCTCTGCCCAGAGTGGTCCAGGCTTACACAGTGAGAACACAATTACAGCTAAGATGGGGCCTCCAAATGTACAGGGACTGCATGGGACCTCCAGGGGTGACACAATACTAAAAACTGAAGGATTGGGAAACTATCAGGCCAGCTGGAAAGTGGAGTGCAAGGAGGAAGTGGTCAGAGCTCAGGACAGGAAGGACGCAGGACCACATCTTAGTCCCACACCCAAAGCCACGCACAGCCTCCAGTCTTTTTTTTTTTTTTTTTT